TGGCAGGGGGTCAGGCTAGATGATCTGTTCAGGTCCCTCCTGACCCTAGCTACTATGAAACTATGAAGCTTCCACTTCCAGCTGCTGGATCTCATTATGCCTTGGATTTGCTGGATTCAAGGGCTCCTCAGATCAGGTATCCTTTCCTAGCATATAAATTTGCAGACCGTGAGCAAGTCACATCATAACCTTTTCTCTCATCAGCTGCTTTGGCAGGAGATGTCTTTTCTACACGTGTGTTTTCCTGACCCAAGCTGGAATTTCACACAGTTTGTTTCCCCCTCCCCATCCCCGCAGTGCACTTTGGAAACAGAGCTACAAGCCTTTCTTGGAAAAGCACTTGCAAGGCTTCCAGCTGTGTGTGTGTCTGTGTCGTGCTGCATTCCACTGCGCAGACAGGGCTCTGGGGGCCCAGGCTGGGAGCTGGACCAGGCCATGGGAGGTGCAGAGGAAGCAGTTTGGGGGGTAAATTCTTCACACCCTCACAAGAAACACAGGGAGCAAACAGGGCAATTGAGCACAGGCAGATATATATAGAAACACATGTGCAGAAAGACTTGGAGACCAGGGGCAATTGGGGGCTGGTGAGCCTGCCAAGAGCGTGTCATTAGAAGCAGCTCCACAAGCTTCTCTGCTAGCAGAGACAAAGCAGGAACAGAGAGTGAGCTCTTGGCTTGATCTTTAAAGCAAGGCGGGCTGAAGCTGTTGGCCTGGTTGGCTCTGACATGTCTCTGGAAGGAGGGGACTTGGCTGTTTTTGTCCAGCCTGTCCCTGGGGAAAAGCCTCAGCTAAAATTCAGGACTGCTGTCATGTTCCAGAGGGCCCTCAGCACATGGAGATCTGTGCTCATCCAGACGCTGCAGTGGACGAAGGCTGAATTTGGTCTAAAGTGGTCAAAAACAAAAGGGTCTTAAATGTAACTGGTCACCAAGACACGTGTGTGTGTGTGTGCATGTGCATGCGCCCATGCACAATGTGAGAGGAGGATACAACTACAACAGCGTGTGTGCTCCCCATAATTCAGGAGCTGTTGGAACCGGGAATGGAAGATGATCTGAGGTGAGTCAATGTGGAGCCATTGCTTTAGGCAAATGCTTAATCTAATCTGATTACATGCAAAAGGATATTGTGCAACGTGCATGAGTACAATGGAGCAGGGGAAGATAAGACATGGGGAGCATTTTGACCACAAATAGCCTCATCTCTGTTTCTTCTCTGTAGTGATCACCTGTAGGGTTCAGTAAACACAGGCATATACTGAATAAGAAGAACTAAACAATGGACTTTACTGTGGAGTAGTAAACAACCACTGCAGACCCTTTGTCTATCTTTAGCTACCTAGTTTGGGGCTCCATAACTGAGGGACCATCTCCCAGTTCCCAGAGTCTCCTGTTAGGGAGCATCTTTAACTTAAAACTTCTATCACTACACACTCCACCACCTCAGGAATCATTACAAGATTGTTACATCCATAATCCCTGATTTCTCTCTTGTATGTGGTTTTCTGGAAAATCCAGGATGTCTCAGTGAGTGAGAACTCTCCCTTTAATCCAGGGGAACATATGACATGCCCACACTGCCTCTGGGATATGTCTGGGAGTAGTTCTGTGAAACATGCCCAGCCAATCCGCTCCTGCTCTATGAGTGCCAAATCCAGAAGGGAAGCAGTGTTGAGTGGTACTGAGCACCTGCCATTAAGCTCTGGTAGCTGCACTAGGGCAAGCCCATGAGCCCACTGCTTCAAAGGGCCCAGACAAAGGGGTTGCACAGCTGTAAAACATCACATCTTGGTGCTATAGAGGGATGTTGCCAAGGAGCACAGTGATACTGCACTGGGCTCTGTGGCTGGCAGTAACTACCCAGAGCTTGGGCTGGTTGCAGCCAGGAGGCTGGCTCTGGTGGGTGCATGCGCACCTCAGAGCGGATCGGGGGGGGGCCTAAGGCAGCACAGCCTGGAAAAGCCCGGTGCTGCTGCTGGCCCCCACCTGTAGCCAGCTTGAGTTCTGGACAGCTGTAGCAAACAGCGGGCAGGCTGCAAACAGCTGCACCGGGCTCTGCAGCCCTAGCATCTGCTTCATACCAGCAACTGGACATGTGCCTCAGAGCAGAGA